TATATATATATATATTTTTTTGAGACGGAGTTTCACTCATGTTACCCAGGCTGGAGTGCAATGGCGCGATCTTGGCTCACCGCAACCTCTGCCCCCTGGGTTCAGGCAATTCTCCTGCCCCAGCCTCCTGAGTAGCTGGGACTACAGGCACGCGCCACCATGCCCAGCTAATTTTTTGTATTTTTAGTAGAGACAGGGTTTCACCATGTTGACCAGCATGGTCTCGATCTCTTGACCTCGTGATCCACCCGCCTCGGCCTCCCACAGTGCTGGGATTACAGGCTTGAGCCACCGCCCCCGGCCTAAAATAAATATTTATAGGGTTGTGTGCACCTACACACCAACAAGTAAGACCTCCCTCCTGCAAGGTGCCCCCTGGTTTCTCTGCCCATGACAGTGAAACTTCCTGTGTGATCTTGACTTTCCTCTTCCCTCTACCCTCTTCTTCTCCCCACCCCCCTGCCCCCCGAGTGCAGTTCCGTGATGCAGGAGGCCGCTTCTCTGAGGCTGTTCCTGCAGGGGTGTTCGTGCCTCTATGAGTGCCCATTTTACTTAACACGGGTTCCCTCTTCCTCCATTTGGGCCCTCTTCCCTCTGCGGGCTTTCGTCTGCCTCTGTGTGTCTGATGCCACGGCTCCGTCCTTGGCCCTCCTCCTGTTCTCCTCCATCCTCTGTGTTGCCAGGGACCTCTCATCTAGGGCTTTGGCTTCAGGGACCTCCCAGGGCATGATGGTTTCAGGTCTGTGCTTCCCCGTTTCCTTTCTCCCCAGAGCCCTCCTGCCTTTTTGCCTTTTTAAAATCTCCCCTGCAAGGTCCCATAAGCTCCTCAGGCCTTGTCTAACTCAGAGCTCCCGACTGCCAACCCCTCCTCCCCATGGCCCCCAGCCCTAATGCCCAGGCCAGAAACCCTGAACTCCCCAAGTCAGCTTTCTTCCCAGCTCACTTCCCACCCAGCAGCAAATCCCATCAATGGAGCGGTAGCTCAGAACTGCCTGTGATCTGTGCTCCTCTCTGTTCCCCTCTGCCCTTCCAGCTCCCCGCACAATTCCTGCAGCCTCCTGGTCCTTCCCCCCGACTCCCTCCCTGGGAGTGCATCTCTGCTTACAGCCCTCCAACAGATTCCAATGGCACACAGGGCTAAAGCTCGGAGCCACAACCTCCAAAGACACTGCCCGCCTTTCCCACCTCATCTCAGGCTGCCTCCTCCCTCATCCTCTCTTCTCTGACCATCCCAATCCGCTTGGAGCCTCTTGAGCACACCTAGCTCACACAGTCCTGCATCATGCCCTTGTGCTGCCCAAGACGCCCTTACCCCAGAGCTCCCCAGTCGGAGGGAACCTGACTTCCTTCTGGGCTCCCCCTAGATCACCAGCTCCAGGGGAGGAGGGACTTTCCCTGCCTAAGCGAAACTGAGCCCTCAACCCGAACCTAAGCTGGGTATTGCCACTCTAGGACATCTTGAGCCCCATCTTCCAGGCGGTGGTGGGGGGGGTCTCTGCACTTGGGCTGTTAATAACAGTTGCTCCCAGGGACAATCTAAAGGCATTTCAGTAGCACCCAGATCCTGCCCCAGAAATGGGCCAGCTTGCCCCTTGCCCACTGAGTTTGAGCGGCCTTAGGATTGGGGGTCAAGCAGAGAAGCCATGGTTCCAGGCAGAACTGGCTTCTTGGGCCTGCAACCTGGGCAGTCACAGAGGGTCCCAGGCTCAGAATGGCCCCATACTTGGGTTTTTGTTGTTTTGTTTTGTTTTGAAACAGGGTCTCGCCCCATCGCCCAGGCTGGAGTGCAGTGGTGCTATCTCAGCTCACTGCAACCTCTGCCTCCCAGGATCAAGTGATTCTCCTGGGACTTGATTCTAACTGGCACTACAGCACACATCACCACACCTGTTAATTTTTAGTAGAGCTGGGGTTTCGCCATGTTGGCCAGGCTGGTTTCAAACTCTGAGCTCAGGTGATCCACCTGCCTCGGGCTCCCAAAGTGCTGGGATTACAGGCATGAGCCACCGCACCCGGCCCATACTTGGTTTAAATTCTATGCTGTTGCCATCTTGAAATTTATTTGTTTGTTTATTTTTGGGAGTGGGAGGGAAGGAAGGAGGGATGGAAGGAAGGAAGGAAGGAATTTATTTATTATTATTATTTGAGTTGGAGTCTCACTCTGTCACCTAGACTGGAGTGCAGTGGCACTATTTTGGTTCACTGCAACTTCTGCCTCCTGGATTCAAGTGATTCTCCTGCCTCAGCCTCCCGAGTAGCTGGGATTATAGGCCCCTGCCACCACACCCAGCTGATTTTGTTTGTTTGTTTTCTTGAGATGGAGCCTTGCTCTGTGTCACCAGGCTGGGGTGCAGTGGTGCTATCTCAGCTCCTGCAACCTCTGCCTCCCAAGTTCAAGTGATTTCAAGCCTCGGCCTCCCGAGTAGCTGAGATTACAGGCACACACCACCATGCCCACTTAGTTTTTTGTATTTTAGTAGAGACGGTTTCACCATGTTGGCCAGGATGGTCTCGATCTCCTGACATTGTGATCCACCCGCCTCGGCCTCCCAAAGTGCTGGGATTACAGGCATGAGCCACCGCGCCCGGCCCATACTTGGTTTAAATTATATGCTATTGCCATCTTGAAATTTTTTTTTTGAGTTGGAGTCTCACTCTGTTACCTAGACGGGAGTGCAGTGGCGTTATCTTGGTTCACTGTAACCTCTGCCTCCTAGGTTCAAGTGCTTCTCCTGCCTCAGCCTTCCGAGTAGCGGGGAATACAGGTACCTGCCATCACACCCGGCAATTTTTAAAAATATTTTTAGTAGAGATGGGCTTTTACCATGTTGGCCAGGCTGGTCTCAAACTCCTGACCTCAAGTGATCCACCCACCTCGGCCTCCCAAAGTGCTGGAATTACACGTGTGAGCCACCATGCCCAGCCTATCTTGAAATTCTTAATAACTTTATTTTTATTGTTTATTTTTTTAGAGACTGGGGTCTCACTATGTTGTCAAGGCTAGCCTTGAACTCCTGGGTTCAAGCTCTCCCACCTCAGCTTCCTGAGCAGCTGGGACTACAGGCATTCACCACTGCACCCCACTCAATAACCTTCTAACTATGGGCTCCAAACTTAGATGTGGCATGGAGCCCTGCAAATTATGTAGCTGCTCCTGGATGCAGGGACACTCAGCTGACACTGCCTGAAGACCTGGAAAGCCAGGTGCTGCTTCCCCTGGGACTTCATGGCCCACGGCCTTCTCAGCTTCCACAACAGCCGTCAGCACCCAGGAGGCCCTCAGGTGCTTCAGTGAGAGTTGGGGGATCCACTGGACAAGGGAGTGTGGGCCTGGGTTCCAGTGGGGACTGGAAGCGGGTGTCAGAGGCGCAGGGCAGGGGTTCCAGCAGGAACGGGGAGTGGGTGTCAGGGCCGCCGGGTGAGAGTTCCAGTGGGCACAAGGAGTGGGTGCCAGGGGTGCTGCACATTCTCCGTCCTAGGAGGCCCTGGACACTGGCCCGGGACTCTCACGCCCACCCCCTCGGAGGCAAGTGGCAGCAGTGTGGTTATGAGCCAAGCATGCGCCCCTAGGCAGAGGGCTTGTCTAGCTGTACCCCACCTCATTGCTGGTTGGACTAGCAGCGGGCACCGGGCTCAGAATGGACCAATCAGATTCTGACTCCTGGATTCCACGCATTGGTCAGCACCTCTGAGGTCAGAGAGGACAATTTATTAAGTGCTGCTGGCTAAGAGGGGCTGGAGTTCCCAACCTCTCAAGTGATGGGCCCAACCCAGCAGCCTGGCCATATTCCATCCCTTGCTCCCAGCTGTTCCTGTGTTGGAACCCAAGCTCTGGGGTTTGCTTCAGTCGCCTGGAAGGCACAGGCTCCCTAAGGTCCTAGGAGTGCACCATGGTGGAAGCCATAGGCACCAGGGCACTTCCCCTGCCCCCAGAAAATGACCCGTGTGGAAGGTGAGACAACTTTATTGAAAGGAAGGCCAGTGAGTGGGACTCATATTCGATCTGCCCCAGAGTGGGGTGCTGGGAGGTTGGGAAGAACGCAGTCCTGGGGTGGGGGTGGCCCTCGGAGTCACACCTCCAGGTTGGACTGAGAGGAGCTGGCCTTGTCCACGAGGCTCTTGTGCAACACGGAGGGGGTGCTAGAGGGTGGCCAGTGGCGAACCACGTGCCGGTAGGAAGTGGCCAGGTAGTCGAAGTAGTTGATGTTGAGTTTCCGGGCCATGTAACGGCCCAAGTATTCCATTTGCTGTGGCGGCAGGTGGCGCTCAACTCGGGCCGGGACAGGACAGACCCCCGTCGCCATGAGGGCGACCCCTTCCCTTTCCAGGCAGCATTCCCAGTCCTGCCCGCAGCCCCGGCGCCCTCTCCACGGCCCCCAGCCCAGGACCGCGCTGTATTTACCCCACCCAAAGACCCTAACAGCGACCGGTGTCATCGTGTCCCGAGGAGGGCACGTGTCTGGGCGGGACCCACCTCGTAGTGCTCCGACAGCTGCACCAGCACCAGCGGCTCCAACCTGTGGCCGCCGAGGACCAGCTGGAAGAAGCATCTTCCGTAGGCTGCGGGGAGAGTGGGCTCAGCCGGCCTGCGCGCCCCTCCACGCTCCCAAGTGGCCTCCCCGTCCTCGGTCCCGGGTCCCGGGCGTCACCGTCGGAGCTGGAGGCCAGGCGCACGTAGACCAGGTGCAGGGGGCCCTGGCACACCGCGCGGCCCTGGATGGAGAAGTGGTACACGCCGCGCGGGTGGTTCAGCACCAGGCGGCGCCGCGGCAGCGATGACACCACCATCCACAGGCCCACCGCCACGCCGTACGCGGGGAAGACCCAGGTCTCCTGCTTCTGCACCTGTGGGCGGGCGCCGCGGGGAGCGCCTGAGCGGGTGCAGGGCGGGCCCGCGGGGGCGGAGGGCAGGGGGGGGGGCCGGGAGCTCGCACCTTTCTCAGGGAGCTGACGCTGACCAGGACCACGCAGACGGCGAGGAGCAGCATCCCCTTCCACAGCGTGTCCTGGTAGTACTCCAGCACGAAGACTAGGGGCGGCGCGGCGAGTGAGGACGCCCGGGCCTCCCGCAGCCGGGGTGGCGGCGCCGGGGCTGTGCCCGGAGTGGCTGGGTCCGCGCAGGGCTCGGGGCGGCAGCTGCAACTAGCCCGCCGCGTTTCCGCCCCCGGGAGCACCGGCCGGCCCGCCCGCGGCCCCTGGCCCTGCCCACCCGGCTCCGCGCCATTCAGGCCTCGGCCCGGCTCCCTCCTCCCAGACGTGCCGCGCCCCGCCCCGCCCCGCGCGCACCGTTTGGCTGCTGCTGCTCGAACGGGAAGAAGCTGTTGTTCTTAAGGCACCTGGCCAGGCGACGCTCGGGGCAGAAGAGTCCTAGGGACCACAGCCGGAAGCGCCAGCCGAAGGAGGTCGCGCGCAGGCCGCGGGCCCGGCCCTTACGGACCTGCCCCTTAGGGCTCTGGGTCAAGCAGAGGTGGTCAGCCTGGCCGCTCGCCCGCCGCCGTCGCCCACTGCCCACAACGGCGCGCCTACCTGGCTGTGCAAATTCTCCAGGGCTGCAGGCCCAAGAAGGAGCAGGAGCTCACAGAGGACCGGCAGGGCAGCAAGGCCACGTAGCGGCCCGGGGAGGGGGGGACCGCACACGCGTTCTAGAAGTTCTGGGCGGGTTCTAGAAGGGGCCACTCTGTTGACCACCCCTTAGGGAGTGCTGGACTGAGGTCCCACAGTGGGAATGAGCTTCTTGACCAGTCCATGCACTGGAGGCCCCTGTGTGGCCTGTTCACTGCCCTCATCTGAAGGGTGGACTCCCCAGGCCTGAGGTGGAGAGAAATCTGCAGGCAGGGACCCCTCAATGAACCCCACGGCTGGGCGGGGCCCCACCTCTACACCCACATGCAACCACCAACAGCTCACCAGTGTTCCCGAGGGTGGGACATACACACACTGGGTCCCTCAGTTGGCAGGCAAAGGCATAGCCACCTGCAGGCTCAAGAACCCTTGGGCCACCCTGACCCCACAACACACAGGCTCTGGGCTGGCTGTAGCCCCAGTGGCACCATCAGGTATAACCCGTTGCCCAACCTTACCCTGAGGACCACACACACAGAGCTCCTAAAAAAGTTTTATTTTAACAAAATGCTCCAATATCTGAAACTGGGCAAAGGTGGGTGGGGGGCAGGCTGGCTGAAGTGTCCCAGGTCTGTGGCTGCCTAGCTGGGCGAGGAGCTGGTGAGCAGCTGCTCCAGACACCACTGGACTTCCTCCAGGCCCCGGTAGGCCCGCTTCAGGCCCCGGGGAAGGCAGCGGCAGGACTCCAGGTTGAGGTAGAGCAGGCCTGGGCAGCTGCTGATCACAGAGCTGTGGGCAGGGCAGGCCACAGGAAGTTGAGCCATTGCCTGGAAGACTTCCCTCAGAAGGGCTTAGGCCAAGCTAGGGAGCTGTGCCTGCTGCTGCTCCACACCTGGCTCTGCCACCCATAGCCACCAAGGCCAAGCCCAGTTGCCCTGGTGTCCCCAAGCCCAGCCCACGAAGGTGCTGGGACAGTACGCATGCCCCTCTGACCCCTGGAGGTCTCAGGCCAGGCAGGACACCATTTTCAGACCCCAGGCAGACGCAGTGACAGCCACACTGGCTCCAGGGACTGGGGGAGGGGATGCTGACCTGACTGTGCTTGGTGTGACCCTGGTGCCCCTGAGATTAAGGGAGCACAGGGCTGGGTGCGAGCCCCCAGGGGTGCTTAAGAAGGCAGCCAGGGCCTGCTCCAGGTCCTTCTCACTGAACCCCTGGCCACTCAAGTCCAGTTCTCGCAGGGTGTGGCACCACTTCTGGGTCAACAGGGGGCTGCCCTCCTTGGCTAGAGTCAGCCGGTCTGAGGTGCCATACAAGCCCAGATGAAGCTGTTCCAGCTCTGCAGTGAGAGGAGTGAGCATAAGCTGCTGGGTGGCAAGGGTCCCCACACATCACCCACCCGGCCACCACCCAGGACCGCTGACCCCGGCACGGCAGATCTTGAAGGCCAGCTGGTGTGATGCGCGCACAGCCACGAAGATCCAGCAAGCGCAGGTTGGGAGAGCCGTGGAGCAGGCGGCCCAGGACCTCGTTGCTCACAAAGTTGCAGGTGGAGCTCGCCAGGCAGAGCTCCTCCAGGCTAGGGAAGCCTGGTCCGGGAGCAGCCCCTCGTCCAGGAGGCTTGGGCAGCCACATCAGGTTCAGCAGCCGCAGCACCTGGGAACAAGGCCTAGGCTGTAGATGGGGGAGGGTGTCACAGGTGGGAGGGGTGGGGAACCAGGTACCTGGAGCTGGGGACAGCCTTTCTGCAGAGCCTCGACAGGCAGCTGGAGGGGAATGCTATTGCGGTTGATGTCGGTGCTCACCTCCAGGACCTGGAGGTGGGGGCAGCAGCTGCCCTGCAGAGATGGGGGGTGTCACGGGGTCAGTGGTCTGGCAGTCCCCAGCTCAGCATCTGGCTCAGCTCCCACCAATGCCAACCTACCAGCAGTGCGCCCAGGATGGCTGTTGTCTGGGAGCTGTAGGTCAGCCACAGCTTGCGCATTCGGGGCCCTGCCTCCTCCAAGAAGCTCACCACAGCTGTGGACTCCACCTGAGGCCCCAGTACAAGAGAACCTGTCACCCCAGCCTGGGCTTTTTCAGGGACCCTTGGGACACAGGGCTCACCATGGAGTGCTGTAGGTCCAGGCTATGGAGCTGGCAGCAGGCTTTGGCTAGCATGACCAGAGCATCAGCAGTCACACCGTGGCAGCCGGAGAGTTTGAGGAAGGTGAGTCGAGGACAGGACTCACCTACCAGCTGCGGGGAGACAGAGGGCCAGCTGGGGTTGGGAAAGGGCAGGCTAAGATCCACGAGGGAAGCAGACAGGTGGCTGGTGCCAGCCCCACTTTACCACCTTAGCTGTGACCTCCTTTATGCCCATGTCAGGTCTACCTGGGTGTCCCTGCCTCTGACACTTCCCTCCTGGAGGAAACAGCAGGAAAAGAGAACCAAGCAGGCAGGCAGGCATCCCCATGGAGCAGCGTTAGGCCCCCAAGGTGCCTGACCCACTTCCTAGTGTACTGAACAGTCCCAGAGGGTCACAGCTGGTGTGCAGGGCAGCCTGAAGCTCTCACCTTCAACACGGGTTGTACCTGAGACTTCCAGTGGATGAGGGTCAGCCTCTGGAGCTGTGAAAACCTGGGCCGACAGCAGAGGCAGAGCTGCACTAATGTTCCCACAGGAGTCCTTCCCACCCAAAACCTTGGTGCAGGGAGACAGAAGGGGCCTGGAGCCAGGGGATAAGGAAAAGAGGGAACCCCTCACCGACTGGGCATAAGCCACTCCAGGGAAGCAAGGAGCTTCTTCTCCGCCTTGACTCTGCCGTTGGCAGGCCGGCTGGCCAGCGGGGGCGACAGGGTCACGGTGTGCCAGAGCGCGGGTTGGGAGGCGGCCTCTTGCCAGCGGCGGCACACGCGCGCAGCCCTGGGAAAATAGCGCTGTTGAGGGTACCGGCCCCTTAGTAGGCGATGCCCCCCTCTCGCAGCGCAGTGGATAGCCGGCTCAAAGCTGAGCCCCTGAGGCTCCAACCGGGCGACTAAGGGACTGTGCTCTCGGACGGCGGCGTGTGCGCCCCGATGCTTTCGCCCTCCGCCCCCGCCCGGGCCACCGCTCGGACCTCATCTGGCCCAAGCCCCTGAGCTCGGCGGCGGGCCCGGCTGCAGCGTTACCTGCCGAGGAAGGGCATGGGCCCGTCCGCCGCCACCAGCAACCTGAAAATCTGCACCAGGACTTCCAAGGGAATGCGGTCTCCCCAGCCCGCGTCTGGCCCGTCCTCGGGCGTGGGCGCGGGCTGGGGCCTCAGCCTGGCCTTGGGCTTGGGCTTGGCAGCGCGGGGGCCCGGGGGCGGCTGCCGGGGAGCGCGGCGTGCAGCGCGCCGCTGTGCGCGGGGTCGGGCGGGCCCGGGTTCGGACAGCACCAGCAGCATGCTGTCGGACTGCAGCAGGTGGTACCCCGAGCCGCTTGGCGCCAGCCGGTCCCACCACCAGTCCTCGGCCGAGCGGGCCCGCGGCGCGGCTCGGGCTCTGCGCCGTACCCAACGAGACGCCGGGGCAGCCATGGCCGCCGACTCCGCTCGGGCAGTCCCGGGGAGCGGAAGGGGCGGGCCTACAGACACCCGCCGGCTCCACTCAGCGCCAGCCTACCGACCAGCTTCCGGGGCGGGACTTCCGGCCGTGGGCCGCGCTGGGTCGGGCCCGGAGCCGCAGTGAGGGTATCGGATCCTGTCTGGCGCCGCGCCCTCAGCGCGCGGGACTGCGGTGGCGCTCCTGGGCCAGACGACGGCGTCCCGGCGTGGCCAGAAGCCGTCATTGGAGCGGGCGCGAAAGGGGCGCGGGACGGGACGCGCAGGGGCCGACGGCGTCCGGGCGTGACCAGAAGTCGGCATTGGAGCGGGAGCACACGCGGCGCGGGACGGGGACGCGCAGGGGCCGGACTGCTCCCGGTCACCCACCCGATGCTGGCACAGCCGCCCCGGCCCCTCCCCTGGCATCTGACCTGCTCCCTGCGGTCCCGGGCACGCAGAAGCCCTGGGGCGTGCGTGGCTCCTGCCGGTAGGCGCCCTGGCCTGGGGTCCGGCGGGCGGTGGTGGTTGCGGTGACTCCAGCCCCGCCTGGCCCTGAGCAGGCGGCTCCACCCGCTCCTTCCGCCTCCTCCCCTGGGCCTGCGGCACCTCGGGCGGGTTTCCCGCTTTCCTGCCTGCCGGCGGTCCAGACTGCCGGGCGGAGCTGCTGGGCACGTTTTAGCCAATGCTCCCCATCCCCACTCCGGCCCGGGGCTCCTCCAGCTCGCCTGTTGGTGGTGGCCTCACCCTGTTCTGACTCCGGCTCGGGGTCCTCAGTGCTGGTCTGTTTCTTTCAAGCTAAAAGAGGTCTTAAGTTCCCAGAAGAGTCAAGCGTTTCCGGACCTCGGTGGGAAAAGAACTGGCTGTGACCTTTGCCCTGACCTTGAGGGGCCTAGCCTCGTGCTCAATGGCAGCACCCACGTCCGGCCGTCCGGTGCTGACCCACGTGCTAGTGGCTCTCTTCGGCATGGGCTCCTGGGCTGCGGTCAATGGGATCTGGGTGGAGCTACCTGTGGTGGTCAAAGACCTTCCCGAGGGTGAGTGGGAGGAGGTGCAGGTGGGCCCAGGAAGGTGGGCTTTCGCTTCCCTTGGGTGTCATGCCCCTGACATGGCCTCCTCCCTTCCCTGCAGGTTGGAACCTCCCCTCCTACGTCTCTGTGCTAGTGGCTCTGGGGAACCTGGGTCTGCTGGTGGTGACCCTCTGGAGGCGGCTGGTCCCAGGAAAGGGCGAGCGGGTCCCCATCCGGGTGGTGCAGGTGCTGAGCATGGTGGGCTCAGCTCTGCTGGCCTCTCTGTGGCACTACGTGGCCCCAGTGGCAGGACAGCTGCATTCCGTGGCCTTCCTAGCCCTGGCCTTCGTGCTGGCGCTGGCATGCTGTGCCTCTAATGTCACGTTCCTGCCCTTCCTGAGCCACCTGCCACCTCACTTCCTACGGTCGTTCTTCCTGGGTCAAGGCCTGAGTGCCCTGCTGCCCTGTATGCTGGCCCTAGTGCAGGGTGTGAGCCGCCTTGAGTGCCCACCAGCCTCCACCAACGGCACCCCTGGTCCCCCGCTCAACTTCCCTGAGCGTTTTCCCACCAGCACCTTCTTCTGGGCACTGACCTCCCTTCTGGTCACTTCAGCTGCTGCCTTCCAGGGTCTCCTGCTGCTGTTGCCACCACCACCATCTGTACCCACAGGGGACTTAGGATCAGGCCTCCAGGTGGAAGCCCCAGGAGCAGAGGAAGAGGTGGAAGAGGCCTTGCCATTGCAAGAGCCACCAAGCCAGGCAGCAGGCACCCCCCCTGGTCCAGACCCTAAGGCCTATGGGCTTTTCTCGGCCCGCAGTGCCTGCCTGCTGGGCCTGCTGGCCACCACCAACGCACTGACCAACGGCGTGCTGCCTGCTGTGCAGAGCTTTTCCTGCTTACCCTACGGGCGTCTGGCCTACCACCTGGCTGTGGTACTGGGCAGTGCTGCCAATCCCCTTGCCTGTTTCCTGGCCATGGGCGTGTTGTGCAGGTACACAAGGGCCCCCTAGCCCCTGGGTGGGTGGAACTCAGGGCTGGGAGCCAGGTCCTGGCACAGTCAGCCCTGACTCTCTGCTCACCCATTGCAGGTCCTTGGCAGGGCTGGGTGGCCTCTCTCTGCTGGGCGTGCTCTTTGGGGCCTACCTGATGGCACTGGCAATCCTGAGCCCCTGCCCACCCCTTGTGGACACCTTGGCAGGAGTGGTCCTCGTGGTGAGCACGGGGGTGGGGGGGGCGTGACATGGGGCGGGGGTATTCCCCTGGAGCAGATGCGTCTCACGCTCAGCCTGCTACTGTGTCCCCTCAGGTGCTGTCATGGGTGCTGTGTCTGGGCGTGTTCTCTTACGTGAAGGTGGCAGCCAGCTCCCTACTGCATGGCGGGGGCCGGCCGGCATTGCTGGCCGCTGGCGTGGCCATCCAGGCGGGCTCTCTGCTGGGTGCTGTCGCCATGTTCCCTCCAGTCAGCATCTACCACATGTTCCACAGCAGAAAGGACTGTGTAAATCCTTGTGGCTCCTGAGCCTGGGCAGGTGGGGACCCCGCTCCCCCATCCTGTATTTACCTCAGTGCTGCCACCGTGCCTGAATGCCGCAGCCCAGGAGGCCCCCGCGCCGGCACACTCATGGACACTCACACACTCCGTAGGAGACCCTAGCTTTCCAGGTGGGGGTCAGGGGCAAGGACCAGGCTTGGAGCCAGGGACTGGCTGGGGCTGTAGGGTAAGCCCCGGGGTCTGGGACTTACATGTGGCTTGTGTAATAAAACATTTTTATGTAATGAGTTGGCATTAATTCTTTGAGAACTTCTCTTTGTATGGATGCTTCCCTGAGCCAAAGCCATGGCCTGGCCTGTGTAGCAGAAGCCGCCTCTCCCCAGGCCCTGGGCAGGTCCTTGCCCTCTGCAGGCCGGTCTCACGGATCATGCAGCCACACCCTCTGAGCCCAGACTCCCCCACATTGCTTCCTGGAACTGCCCTGAGCTCTCTGGGCCCACACAGGCTACCATGCTCAGAGGAGTAGGAGGCTCTCCTCCAGGCAAGGCCACTGTTCCACAAGCATCTCTTAAGGGCACGAGGGTCAGTCAGGATGGGGCTGTGACATGCTGAGCTCCCAGTCCACCCTCACTCCTGGAATGACTCGTTGCCTGCTGGCTTCCCAGGAGTATCCTGCTAGGGATTTACACTGGGGGGTTGGTGTGCAGACCCCAGGGTGCTCAGTGCGGGGGGACTCAGAAGAGATAGAGATTCTAGCCCATTGAGACCCTTTGGCCTGAGCATTGCCGCCTCCAGCCTCTCAGCGCCAGCTCCTTCTGCAATCAGCCCCGCAAAGGTGTGAAACTCTTCAGGCAGACTTGGCTACAGCTGCCTTCTCCCTGAGCTGCTGGCACACTGCCCCTGGCCCCGGGCAGCCTGGGCCTGTGCATGTTGCCATTTGCAGGGAGCAGACCATGGCCTGTTCTGGGCTGGGTGGTTCTCAGGCTCCCACAAAAAGGGCTGGAGGTGCAGAGAAATTGAGAGGAGCCCCTGAGCTTGGCAGCAAGGACCTGGAAGAAAGTGCTGGGGGAGGCCGTGCCAAGGTGGGAACCTGGCTTTTTTCACTGTGTGGGCAGCCACCCCCGGGAGGCAGGGCACCAGACTGTAATCCAGTGTGGCTGGCCTGGCAGCAAGGCCTGTTCTCACAGGCAAGAGGCCCCACTTCTGCATAGGGGCCCCTGCAGCCGCAGGGAGTGGGTAGGCAGGCGCTGGGGAAGATGAGTCCGTTCCTGCTGCCCGAGGGCCGCCTAGGACAGTTCTGCTCTCCAGACGCTTTTTCTGACTGTCCTTGAGTTGGCCTGCACACGGGCCTTTGAAGTGCCCGGCCTTCCTCCCTGCTTCTGCTCCCTCCTGTCTTGGCAGGACCATCAGAGGAGGAAGGAGCCCTCGTGACCGGGAAAGCCTCTGGTCTGGGGCCCCATCAAACGTCAGGGGCGGGCCAGCTTCCAGGGGACTTGGGACCTCCCAGCCCTGAGAGCAGTGGTCACCGCCAGGTCCAGCCTTCCAGGATGCTGCTGCCTGAGGCTGGGCCCCTGCCCAGCTGACCTGGCTACTTCCTTTTGGGGGTTGCAGGTATTGAGGACTCTAGGGGCTGGGGGCTGCAAGTTGGCTGTGAGCAGAAGTGGCCTGGTAAGAGAAGAAAGATTCTGAGGGAAGATGAGGACAAGGATGGGATGAGGCAGGTGGTATTGGTGGCAAGGCCACAGACAGCAGGGCTCCTGGTCTCATGCTGTCTCCCTTCCCCTCATCACTCTGCCCCTGCCCCGTCAGCACCGGTGCTTGGGGCCTGCCCTCTCCTGTCCACCCTGGGCTGGAGGCTGGTGGAGCGACCTCCCAGCTTTCTCCTGGCTTCCTTCCCATGGAGCAGCGATCAAAGACATCCATGGGGCCCCTGCTCTGTGCCACAGTCACCAGGGCCGCAGAGGAGCAAGGTGCACAGGCCCGAGTGAGGAATCTGCTGCCTTCTGAAGTCCCCATGCGCTTCCTGCCCATATCCCTATTTTGACCTCCACCTCAGTTCCTACAGTAGGAACTGGGGCGGGGGTCAAAATGATAACAGCAGGAAAGTGCCTCAGCTTTGAGTGCTGCTTACTTACGGTTTCCCAGGGCTCAGTCCAGGGCCAGAGCCCGGCCTTGCGGAGGCAGAACAGCCCGCTGTGAAGGGCTTGCCGGGATCAGGATGCCTACCACCACCAGCTGCACAGCAGGTGGCCAGAGGCTTCCGGAGACTCTGCCTCAGCACTTTGGGAGGCTGAGGAGGACGGATCACCTGAGGTGAGGAGTTTAAGACCAGCCTGGCCAACATGGCAAAACTCTGTCTCTACTAAAAATACAAATATTAGCTGGGCATGGTAGCAGGCACCTGTAATTCCAGCTACTCGGGAGGCTGAGGCACAAAAATCGCTTGAACGTGGGAGAAGGAGGTTGCGGTGAGCTGAGATCATGGCATTGCACTCTAGCCTGGGCAACAGAGTGAGATTCTCTCTCAGAAAAAAAGGCCAGATGATGTGGCTTATGCCACCTCAGCACTTTGGGAGGCTGAGGCAGGCGGATCACCTGAGGTCGGGAGTTCAAGACCAGCCTGACCAACATGGAGAAACACCGTCTCTACTAAAAATACAAAATTATCTGAGTGTGGTGGTGCATGCCTGTAAGCCCAGCTACTCAGGAGGCTGAGGCAGGAGAATTGCTTGAATTCAGGAGGCAGAAGCTGAAGTGAGCCAAGATTGCACCACTGCACTCCAGCCTAGGCAACAAGAGCGAAACTCTATCTCAAAAAAAAAAAAAAAAACCAGCAGGGCCGGGCGCGGTGGCTCAAGCCTGTAATCCCAGCACTTTGGGAGGCTGAGGCGGGTGGATCACGAGGTCAAGAGATCGACACCATCCTGGTCAACATGGTGAAACCCCGTCTCTACTAAAAATACAAAAAATCAGCTGGGCATGGTGGCACGTGCCTGTAATCCCAGCTACTCAGGAGGTTGAGGCAGGAGAATTGCCTGAACCCAGGAGGCGGAGGTTGCGGTGAGCCGAGATCGCGCCATTGCCCTCCAGCCTGGGTAACAAGAGCGAAACTCCGTCTCAAAAAAAAAAAAAAAACCAGCAGAGAAGGGCCAGCCAGGCTGTGGCCACCACATGCAGCTGCCTCTCCCAGGTGTGTGGCCATCCTGTCTGACGCTAATCCCGTGCGTGTGGGGACTACTGGTACATGTCACCACACCTGGCTAATTTCCGTATTTTTAGTGGAGACAGGGTTTTACCATATTGGCCAGATGGCCTTGATCTCTTGACCTCATGATCCGCCCACCCCAGCCTCCCAAAGTGCTGAGATTACAGGCGTGAGCCACCGTGTCTGGTCCTAATTTTCTTTTATTTTTTGTAGAGACAGGGTCTCACCATGTTGCCCAGGCTGATCACGAACTCTTGGGCTCCCAAGTGATCTTCCTGCCTCCACCTCCCAAAGTGCTGGGATCACAGGTATGAGCCACGGTGCCCAGCCACGCCCCTTGATGTAGATTTGCTCAGAGAACCCACCGACTGACATGGGGACGTGGACAGTGGTCCTGTAAGGGGCTCTCTTGATTCCACTGAATACACAAAGTACTCAGGGAGCCCACCTGACAAGGAGGAACCCCAGGGCAAGCAGAGCTGGGGGGACACAGCAAGAGGCAGGGCCCTGACCACATCCCTGGCCACCTGGGGCTGGTGGCGCCTGAGCGAGTGTCCCTTGGGCTTCGAGTCCCAGGATACCTGGTTCTCCCAATCCGTCCAGCCCAGTTTCCACAGTTACCCAGTTTTCTCAGTACTAGACCATCCCCCAGGCCCTAGACCCTCATGTCTGGTTACCCTGTAATGACTCAACAGGTTTTTAGTGCCAATTCTTGGAGGTAGGAGTACTCCAGTAAACAGAGTTTAATGAACACAAAGCTAGCCATTTAGAAGGACAGGAAGAACTTAGAGGCAAGGATTTTACTTTTTTTGTTGTTGTTTTTGAGATGAAGCCTTGCTCTGTCGCCCAGACTGCAGTGTAGTGGTGTGATCTTGGCTCGCTGTGACCTCCACTTCCCCCTGCACCCCCAGGTTCAAGCTATTTCTTCTGCCTCAGCCTCCTGAGTAGCTTGGATTTCAGGCATGCACCAACACACCCAGGCATTTTTTTAATATTTTTAGTAGAGACAGTGTTTCACCATGTTGACCAGGCTAGTCTCCAACTCCTGACCTCAAGTGGTTCACCCACCTGGGCCTCCCAAAGTGCTTGACACCTGGCTGAGACTAGGATTTTTCAAGGATACTTTGGCAGGCAGAGAACTAGGGAATGCGGAATGCTGGTTGGTTGGGGATGCCATCATATGAGTGTGGAAAACTGTCATCACACACTGCATCTGTCTCTGTAGAGCCACAGATCTGGTTGAATTATGAGTCCTGGTTAGGGTAGAGTCAGTCGGGCATCAGAATGCAAAAGGCCTCGCCGGGCTCAATTGCTCACGCCTGTAATCCCAGCATTTTGGAAGGCCAAAGGGGGCATATCACAAGGTCAGGAGTTTGAGACCAGCCTGGCCAACATGGTGAAAACTTGTCTCTACTAAAGATACAGAAAAAAAAATTAGCCCAGTGTGGTGGCGTGCATCTGTAATATCAGGTACTTGGGAGGCTGAGACAGAAGGATTATTTGAACTGGGGAGGCAGAGGCTGAGGCAGGAGAATCACTTGAACCCGGGAGGCAGTGAGCCGAGATCCCACCACTGCACCCTGGTCTGGGCGACACAGCAAGACTCCATCCCCCCAAAAAAAACCAAAAAAAACTGCAGACTAATATTCCTTATGAACAACACAGACGCAAATACCTTCAACAAAATACCAGTAAACGGAAAGCAGCAGGATAGAAATAGAAGCGTATGCTCTGAAGGCCGGGCGCGGTGGCTCAAGCCTGTAATCCCAGCACTTTGGGAGGCTGAGGCGGGTGGATCACGAGGTCAAGAGATCGAGACCATCCTGGTCAACACGGTGAAACCCCATCTCTACTAAAACTACAAAAAATTAGCTGGGCATGGTGGTGCGTGCCTGTAATCCCAGCTACTCAGGAGGCTGAGGCAGGAGAATTGCCTGAACCCAGGAGGCGGAGGTTGCGGTGAGCCGAGATTGCGCCATTGCACTCCAGCCTGGGTAACAAGAGCAAAACTCCGTCTCAAAAAAAAAAAAAAAGCGTATGCTCTGAACAAGTCGAATTTATTCCAGGAATGTGGCTGGGCCA